ATTCATGCACCTCCTTCACCTTTACATGTAATGACAGCACCTTGGCCATTTTCTATGTGGGGAATAGACGTCATTGGAACAATCACACCAAAAGCATCAAATGGACATTGTTTCATCCTAGTGGCAATTGACTTTTTACTAAGTGGGTTGAATACTTCATATGTCAATATTAAGAGGTATACAGTTTGTAAATTTATAAAGAAAGAAATAATCTACCGGCATGGGCTACCAAAGAGAATCATTACAGATAATGCTTTGAATTTGAACAACAAAATAATGACTGAACTTTGTGCACAGTTCAAGATCAAGCATGCAAACTCAGTGACCTATCGCCCAAAGATGAATGGGGCAGTTAAAGCAGCAAATAAGAACATCAAGAGAATCATTACAAAGACTACTGAGACTTACAAAGATTGGCACGAGAAGTTACCTTTTGCCTTATATGTATATCAAGCTACCGTTCGAACGTCTACTGGGGAAACGCCTTTTTCTTTAGTCTATGGGATGGAAGCAGTCTTACCGATTGAAGTTGAGATCCCATCACTTCGAATCTTGAGAGAGGTAAAATTGGATGAGTCTGAATGGATCCAAGCATGATTTGATCAATTGAACCTTATTGAGGAGAAGAGATTGAAAGCTATTTGTCATGGACAGATGTATCAAAAATGGATGATGAAGTCTCATGACAAGAAAGTACATCCAAGAGAATTTCAAGAAGGTGATCTAGTGCTGAAAAAGATCTTGCCTATACATAAAGATTTCCGTGGGAAATGGATGCCTAATTGGGAAGGGCCATATGTTGTAAAAAAGGTCTTTTCCGGAGGAGCGTTGATCTTGGCATAAATAGATGGGAAAGTTCTAAGAAACCCGATAAACTCATATTCTGTCAAGAAATATTATGCTTAAAGAAGAATAAAAAAAGAAAAAGTAGAAAATAAAAAGGAGGGTCAAGATGAAAACCCACAAAGGGGGTCTTGCAACCAAATGAAAGATTTGAGTTGAAAACCTGAAAAGGTTGCTCAAATGCATGTTGATATTAGGCATCTGACAATTAAAACCCTCTTAAGAATTTGATATTTTGGGAGAAGTTTTACATCTACAAGCATTCGGGAAACGTTTGAGATCTTCCAAACATATGCTTACCTCAGCGCTCTAAATTATATCAAATTGATTAGTTTAGAAATACTTATGCTAATAATTTGTTGAGTCATTTGAATTTTTATCATTCCTATGTTTGCCATGACTTTGAATACATTTCTATATATTTATTAATAGATTCCAAGTTTATCTTTTCGAAACTCAATTTCTTTTTGAAATTCAATTTATTCTTTTATATAAACATCATGCAAATGGATTAACATAATTTTTAAATAAGCAAAAGATTTTTGGCTATCACTTTATGTTAATACTATTGAGTGTATGGAATCCAAGGTAAATCTTAATGTCAACAATTGCAATCATTGTTGAAAGGCGAACAAGTTTTTCTGCCATAAAGTCATTTGAAGACAAATAAAGCAGAAAAGCAACAAAAGAAATTCTTAGAAAAGAGAAATTGATGGGGTGTTTTGGGAAATAGATCTAAATGAAGAATTTTTGGAAAGAGTAAGTCAAATCCAAGCAAAGAAGAAATCTCAGCAAAGATAAAGACTCGTTAAGAGAATGAAACATTAATTAATGAGAATACAATAGCTCATAATTTTAAAATTATATCATGCATCATATTTAGGTATTTGTAAATAATAGGGATATTTCCATTCATTTTATCCATGTTGAATATTTGAAAGGAATTTCAAGGATTAGCAAAGATTCGAATTCATCACTCGATGGATTAACATTTCAAGGAAGAGTTTATAATGAGAAGAACTCAACTGAAGAAGAAGAAGAAGTTCATAATAAGAAGAAGTTCATAATAAGAAGAACTTATCTGAAGAGGAAGAAGAAGTTCATAATGAGAAGAATTTGTTCAACCTTTCGCTTGATTCTATCATAAAAGGAGATAGATCAGCATCAACATTGCCAGGAAGAGTTCATAATGAGAAGAACTCATCTGAAGAGGAAGAAGAAGTTCATAATGAGAAGAAATGTTCAACCTTTCGCTTGATTCTATCACAGAAGGAGATATATCAACATCAACATTTCCAGGAAGAGTTCATAATGAGAAGAACTCATCTGAAGAGGATTAACATTTTCAGAGGAAGTTCATAATGAGAATAACACTTATCTGAAGAGGAAAAAGAAGTTCATAATGAGAAGAACTTGTTTAACCTTGTCTTAATTCATCACATATGAAGTTGAATCAACAGCATCTCTTTCGAGGATCAATATTTCCAGATAGAGTTCGTAATAAAAAGAACTCAACTGAAGAGGAAGAAGAAGTTCATAATCTGAAGAACTTATTCAACCTTTTGCTCAACTCTATTGCATATGGAAATATATCATAATCAATATTTCCATAAGAAGTTCATAATGAGAAGAACTCATCTGAAGAAGAATCCATCTGAAGAAGAACTCGTCCGAAGTGAGAGAAAAGTTCATAATAAGAAGAATACATAGCTCAAAAGTTTAAACAATTCAAGCTAAAAATGGTGCTTTATGTCTTTGCTCCATTCCTATTCCACAGTAACGAGCAAAGAGGGGCAACTGTAATCACCATTTTTACCTTGGTCCAGTTGGTTCCCTCCTCCAATTAGCACCTGCAGCAGCCCCTCCACCACAACAAATTCCAGCAGCTTCCACCAACAACAGCTGGTCCTCTACAGCAGCCACACATACAAGGAGAAAGGGAAAATAATCTTTGATTCTTCATGTAAACTAGGGCTATAAAAGCCCCATAACAAAATGTAAAATTTACACAGAAAAAAATCAGGAGAAATCTAGCAAAATACACAAAGAAAGTCGGAAATAAAAAGTTCTACAAAGGTTATTTCTACATTTGATTTTATTTTTTATCAGCTTATATTCTATTTTTATTTATTTTCGAAAAAAAGTAAGTTAAATAGATAAATAAATAAAACAAAAAATAGGATAGTTGGAAGTTTTGGGTGTTCTGCGTGTAAAATAAGGAGGAAGAAGATGAGTTTTGAGTTTATAAAATTTTTGGGTAAACCATACGTCAGGTCCCTAGGCTTTGGAGTTCATTACTTTATTCACTAAAAATAGAGAAAATCATGAAATAATCCCTCTAATTTATGTGCATATTTACACTTTAGTTCCTAATTTCTCTATTTTTATTATTATTTCGAAATTAGGTGTTATATTTTCATTTTTTATTTTAATCTCTATGTTTTACTTTATTATATATAATCCCTTAATTATTTTTTTACATGAATATATATATATATATATATATATATATAATTCATTATGATATTCTGATTGATTAATTATGGTTAAACCACATTATTAATACTTATATTTTATGATATTTTGAATTATATTATCATATTCTTATTAATATTTAAATATTAAGAAAATGAATGTCTTAAAGCAACTAAAAGTCTTTTTCTGATATTTTTAAATAATTTAATATCTTACTTTTATAAATTATATATATATTAATTATTTTTAGAGAAATATTTTATTAATATTTATTTATTTATTTTAATATTAAGAAAATGACTGTCTTAAAGCAACTAGAAGTCTTTTTCTGATATTTCTAAGTAAATAAATATCTTATTTATAAAAATATACAAAATATATATTTATAAAAGTTAATATTTTCTTGGAATTATACTAATAAATTTGAAATCATATGATTATGAATTAAATATATTTTTGAATTCTTAAATTTTCAATAATAGAGACAATTTATAATTAATGAGTACTAATTTTGGGCGTTATAGGGGTGTTAATCCTTCCCTAAACGTAACCGACAACGAATCCCTTTTTTACTAAAATTTTTTTGTTATACGCAGATCTGTTTATCTTTTAAATTATGTTTTCTTAAAAACTATTTTAAAATATTATTTTTAGGTATTTGACCTATCTAACCCAAAAAGGTCAATGTCGACTCTCAAAACATTTTTTAAAATCAAAATCATTTATTCATTTTACTTTTCCCGCCAAGTAAAAATTCGTACCGGGGCAAAAACCGGTTACGACATATCATCTTTAAATGAAGTCATAAAAGTTTTACATACAAATCTTCTAATTTAAAATTTGATATTTTTAAAATGAAAAATGAGTAATATTGATCGAATATAATATTAAAGTATAGTGTTTATTAAAATTAAATTTATATATTATTTAGAGTCAAATCATTTAATCTTAAACTCTATTATACATTTAAATTGAATTTTTGAGACAAGATTTAATTTATTTAATATATATTTATATATATGAGAAAGAATTGTTGTTAGTAAAAAAGTAAAGGGACCAGGGTCCACTCATAGTTTTTGTTCCGTCTCTACTTGCCGCACACCATAGACTTGAATGACATTTTAAGTTTGATTATGAGGTATTAAATGGAGTATTATTTATTTTATCAAATATTATATAAAAATACAAAACAAATATAATAATATTATATTTTTCAATGGTTTTCTAATTAAATTAGTATATGGGTAACATGCAACACTAATTCAACTTTAAGTAGTCGAAGATATAAAAATTTATAATCATTTTATTCGCTTTAAATTTTCCGATAAAATTAATATTTACATTAAGAATAAACAATAATGTGATATGCCATTATTTTAATTTTGTATTTTTATCAATAATGTATCTAGTAATCATTTTTCTGCATTAAAAATTAAATAAAAGATTTTTCATTAATCAATCTTAAGTTGGTATAATTTCAAATTCTAATATTATAGATGAAACAATTAAATTGAAAAGATGAAACAATTGAGTTGAAAAGATCGTTCTATAAAAAATCTCTACAATATCTTATCAATCAATAGTAGGCCCATATAAGTAAATTAATTAATTTATTTTACTCTTACAATTCAGTTTTTTTAATACTTATTATTAAAATTCTAATTAAAATCTCGTAAACATTGATTTGACAAAGTTTGTTGCAAAAATACATCAGGGAAACCATGGCATTTGTGGCAACTGCCTTGAACAGTTTAACTTTACAAAATTTGCACCCTTCCTAAAAACAAGAGCTGGGTTTAGTCATAATACTACTGCAACAAACGTCGACATCCTAGCTCCTATAACCCAACTTTACAAAATTCGGTGCATAACTTAAGCCACTGTTTCACGGTGCCGCACGATTCAAAGCTTGCTACATCAAGACATAATGCTCTCAGGTCTTTGCATTTTTTGAAATCTTGTCAAAAATCGGATTCTCGAGCAATTCCTTAGCAGAAGGCCGTCGTGCTGGATCGTGATCCACCATGACCTGATAAAAAAGGGGACCCATCAGTAGAAACCAACAGAAGTACTCTAGCTACGTATGTTTAGAGGATTTAATCAGTCTGATCAACATGAAAACACATGAAACAAACATATTGATTTCATGTATGTTTCACGTGACAGGGTTACATATTTAGGATTATATATACTAATCTGACAAATAAACTAAGATGCATTATAAGTGGTGGACCTAGAAATTAAAAAATGAAGATCCAAAATTTTAATATTAGATTATATATAACAATCAAGTCAAATTCTATGGTCTATACTATAGAGCTTATTCAAGACTAATCTCACAGGCAGCCAGAAAATAACATAATTATCTATTTATATTAAAAACTAAAGAACTTAGAGCAGAAAATATGATACCTTGAGTAAATTTTGAAACTGTAGGGAATACCCAGGAAGGAGTGGTAGCTTTCCTTCTCTAAGAAACTGAGCTCCTGATTCTGGCAGAGGTGATCCCCTAATTAATTCATAAATAGTAACTCCGAATGAGAAGATATCAACCTTGTCAAGATGATCATACTTCTCATTTAGGATTTCTCGAGGCATATAGCGTGCATCACCCTCTTCAATTGGCAGGCTCTTATTTAGGAGAGTTGCACATCCAAAATCACCAAGCTTGTAAACACCGTTCTTGACATATATTATCAGGTTTTACATCCAAATGAACTATTCCTCTTTCATGTATAAACTGCAGTGCCTTTGCCATCTGCAAATCTTTTGACATCAGAGCAGAAGATGAAAACAGAAAAGAAAGAAAAGAAACAAAGAACCTATTAACTTCGAAGGTGTTAAAAGAAATTGCATTAAACAGTAAAATGTGTTAAGTACAACAAGGTACAATGAAGAGTGTAGCATGGAAACTAGTGTTTGGTACCGAGCTTCCTATATGACAATGTGACCACAAATTCAGAGGTTGAGAAGTCCTACTCTGATTGTTTGCAGAGAATGAAGAGATGTAGACTCTTAATAACCACGAGGGGTGAAAAGAGAAGTAAATAAACTTTCATTATCTTAGGAAATAATCATGTGATGTTACGTCATAAAAAGGTGATTCAAACCAACCAAGCTAACAAATGGGAATGAGACCTTTTCATTTTTTTAAAAACATTATCCCTACCCCATCCTGTTTTTCTCTTGTAGAGATGCTGTATTTCAGCTAATGCTAACCTGAAGCAAGGCTTTCAGGAAATCTCCTTCTGTTAACAGTTGATGAGACGTTTTTCTGGACAAGCTGTAATCACAAAGCTCCATTTGTATATAAAGTTGCTCATTTTCAAACCAAGAAGAGTAATATCCAACAATGTTTTCATGAGACCCTGGAAAGGATTGCTTTAGTATCAATGCCTGAGGTTACAATTCATAATTTCCTCTTAAATTGAACAAAAAAAAATGAAGAAATGGAAAAAAGAGAGTCAATACAAATTTATACCTGCTGCAGCTAAAGCTTGAACTTCCATCAAGGCTTTCCTCCTGCAAAGAGTTAATATTATTTTATAATAACGTTTTCTTAACAATTAGCAGAGAAACCTGTGGAAAAAAGAAACAAAAAACTGAAAACTACCTCTCAGTATCTTGATGCAACTGTCGGGTACTATGTTTCACAGCATACAAGCAACCATCAATTCTCTTTAAAACTTTGAAAACTCGACTGAAGTTACCAGTACCGATTTGCTGGAAAGCAAGGCAAAAAGGAGGATACAAGAGCCTGGAGGTTAGATACTTAATATACAAATTGGAGCTAATGATTCCAAATAAGTCCAGAATTTATGGAATAAGGATAGACACCTCAATCTCATGAAAATCTGTGTGATAGCGTGAAAGGCCATCCCCACCAATAATTGCAGGGAAGAAACCTGTAGATTGCAGTGATATTTTATTAGAACCTTCCAGATAAAGAATTTTAGGACGTCCAGAATGGTAACCTTCTTTCTCCAAATGGGTACTGAAAATGGATATGGAAGTTTCACAAATATATATATATATATATATATATATATATATATATATATATATATATATATATATCAAAGTGAATGTTTCTTTATAAACTAAAATCGTACCTTCACACTTTGATCTTTGATTTCCAAAAGGATCATTGTCAATTTCTGAAGCATCCTTTAGATATGGGTTTTTAATGCAAGGAGGTGGCATAATCCGACACCTTAGAGCCACAGCAGATTGAGAAACATAATTTTTAGTCTTCTTTGCTCCAAGTACGATTGTTTTTTCTAGGTTGCCTTCATCTGCATCAAATCGGTCATTGGCAAGTTCCACTATTTGATGGGAGCCAGGTAATGTAGGACTGAGGGAATTTGCCAGGATATCATCTGAGAAAAGAATTGATATTTCAATTGAAAAATGTTGAAAAAAAAATACTTGTGTTCATAAAGTTTTGTACTTTTTCTACTTTTTCACCATGTTAAATATCATCATACTGAATACTGGTCCTGATCGTTAAAAATGTTCAATGACCTTATGCAGGATGACTCCTGTTTTAAGGACTATGATATTAGCCTAGCTACAATTTCCACAACGAATATGCAAACTATCGTGTGATGACTAAAGTCACCAATTTGCTGTGTGATTGAAATACAGAATCTCTAATCACTCACAATGAACCATCACCATTTCATGTTTTAGTTCTCATAACTACATGAGAATATTACTTTTTATCTGTACCGATCACATTAACAAATTAGAAGCTGGATTAACGTCTCTTCCAAATAGAGCTCCATGTTCACATGTCTCATAAGTAGATATAGTCTCCGTTTAGCATTGCATTTAAAAAGTACCTTTGAAGTAAAATGCTAAACATATCACGTTTGAAGAATAAAAATTCGTCTAACTTTTTAACCTAAACACAAAAGCTAAAGAAAAAAATGAATTTGAAAAATGCTTTTGGATCTAAATTTATAATTTTAAACTTAATTTGTTATCATATGTATTTATTTTATATTTTTTATAAATTTATGATTAATTATATAATTATTAAATTATTTATATCTTGTCATGTAAATTTTTAGATGAAAATTATTTTATATTTTATATATTTTTCTTGAAATATGAACAATTCTTACTATTTTTATTGAAAAAATTACTTTAAAACTTTTTATCATAATTTAAGTTAATATATTTTATATATTATAAATATTAAAAATTTCAAGTATCATTTAAACATATATTTTTAACTTAAAACATTATATCTAAAATAATAATGTATCTTATAAAAAACATTTTAACAGTAATATTAACCATTTAAATCTTAAATTACTTAATTTATCTTTTCCCAGCAACGGATCTCAGAGTTATGAATGTAAAACGGAGAAGGCAAAGGATCAATATAAAAGGTAGCAATTTTCAAACAACTACAAACGCACAATCCATCCTTCCAAATATTCTAGTTTCCATCAATTACTTGCATCTTACCTTGTCGAGGTCTCTTGCTTTTGAGAGTATTCAACTTCTCCGGCGACTTAGGGCAAGGAATATTCTCCTGTGAAATTTGATAATTTAAATGGAAAATAAAAACAACTTCAAAACTCAAAGCACAAAAAAATTAACTACCAGATATTCCTTTACCAAAAAGATAATATTAATAGTACCTTGCTGCAATCAAATCCGTTGAGCAAGTTCTGATTATCAGGGGTGATATAATCAGGAGTGCTGCATCCATCATCAAAAAAAAAGAGAAAAAAAGGTGAAGAACCAAACTAAGAAATTTAGAATATTACATATACCCAAAGAGAAGAGGATTTACCAAAAGAAATCTTGACTGAGAATGAAATCCTTGTCATCGGCGGCGTCGAGGTCGGGAACGGAAGTGGAAGGGTCATCCTGGGATCCGAAATCTAGAAGGTTCCGGGAGAAGAGAGAGGATGAGGTGGCGGAAGATGATTGGTGAGGGTGGAACTGAACCTGAAAGTGCTTCCCCAATGTTCCTTTCATCCTATTATTACTTGGCCGCTTCGCTCCTCTTCTCTCCATCAACCAAACAGACCCCAATTTCTCTCCTTAACTCGCTCGTGGGGGATAATATATATATAAATGGATTTCCCACTTTCAGAGGCTTTTTCTTTCTCTTGTTTTTTTACTTACTTTTTGGTGGGTGGAGGAAAAATATTTGAAATTGCGCGGGCAATTGGCATTATTCATTGGCACAATAATCTACAGTTATGGGGTCTACAATAGCATCATCATATCGTTGAATCTTTACCGTCCATGTAAGACCTGTATGATCTGATGTTTTTGCATCATTCATTGGAATTTCACGTCAATGGATGGATTTCACCTAAGCGATAACTATTATAATATGCACATTTTATTTGATGGTTAAAAACTTCTTTTACAAGTATAGTTTTTTTTCTCTCTTTTTTCTTTAAAAAAAATAAAAGATCTAAATTATATCTCTTTTTTTATTAAAAAGTCTAAATTAATTTTCATTCAATTTAGATGTATAACATTATAACATTCTCTATCAAGTCAGCTTATGAAGCAAAGAACTGCGAGCTTAGAGACAATGAAGATCCCGATTGGAAGATCATTCATAGGTATAAATAGGGGTGTAAATGAGCTGAGTCAAGTATTGTTGAACTCACCTCTCGAGCTCAATGCAACTTGAAAACTCTGAAATAGAATTCGACTCAACTCAAAAACTTACGAGATTAAAATTTTCAAGCTAAACTCGAATTCGAAATCATGAATTGAAACTCATGAACAACTCGAAATGAAAAAAATTCTTAAGCTTAACTACATCGAAACTTCAAATTCAAATTCGAACCTAAACATTAAATACATGAAAATCTTACTATATTTGTTTTAAAAATCAACATATAAATGTTAATATTATTAATAATTTATTTTTTAAAAATAAAATATTAATATATTATATTTTTTAGCTGCTCAAGAATTTTTCAAGTCTACTATTAAGTAGCTCGTTTCGACTCGTTAAGAATTCGAGTCAAACTCGAGTCAAGTTCATTCGATCCGAGTATTTATCGAGCCTTGACCGAATCAATCTCGAGTAACTCACGATCTATCTCGTCTGATTTACAGTCCTAGGTATAAAAAAACTCCAAAAAATAAAGATATTTCTGTAATACCCTAATTCTGCCCATGTTAACAACCTTTGCAGAACATTGGTGCCTCAACAAACGTCTGTAAGGTAGTGTTTGTTTTTACAGAGGTAAAAGATTTGTAGTCTGCGAACCACATCTGCAGCAGAAGATGTGGACTAAAAATCTGCAGTTTGCAAGAAGAAGACTGTTTGTTTTTTAACGTCTACAGACTGTTAAAATGAACTGAAATATAAATAAACTGATTTTTTAAACTTAAAAGAGTTTTGCAATACTGAGATTTAAATAATTTTAGTTTTACAATACTGAAATTTAAATAATCTATACAACTACAATAATAAATCAATCCATATTTTAAAATAAATCAATCCATACTAAAAATTATTTAAAATAAATCAATCGATATTTTAAAATAAATCAATCTATACTAATAAATTATTTAAAATAAATCAATCCATATTTTAAAATAAATCAATCCATACTAAAAATTATTTAAAATAAATCAATTCATATTTTAAAATAAATCAATCCATACTAATAAATTATTTAAAATAAATCAATCCATATTTTAAAATAAATTAATCCACACTAATAAATTATTTAAAATAAATCAATTCATACTAATAAACTATTTAAAATAAATCAATTCATATTTTAAAATAAATCAATTCATACTAATAAATTATTTAAAATTAATCAATCTATACAACTACAATAATAAATCAATCTATATTTTAAAATAAATCAATCTATACTAATAAATTATTTAAAATAAATCAATCAATACTAATAAATTATTTAAAATAAATCAATTCATACTTTAAAATTATTTAAAATAAATCAATTCATACTTTAAAATAAATCAATCAAAACGACCGGTTACGTGAGCTTCGGTCAAGGGATAAGAGAAAGTTTAGAACCCCTTAAGTCGTTTTGGGCTCCTTCGGTCGGTGAGGGCGCCGGTCGGAGCATGTCTGGTCGCCGATTTACGGCCTTCTTGTGAAGGTTTCGGGTTTTCGGTTAAGCAAAAAAAAAAAGCGGCAGTACTGGGGTTTGTCGAAGTCTTCGTTTAGGTTGTTTTGGTTGGGGTTTAGCGCCGGTCGGAGCTTGGAGTGACCACCAAATCGGTGGTCGGCGTCGGTGATGGGCTCTCTAGATTTGGAGTGAGCGGCTGCGTGGGGGAGGGAATATGAGTTTGAGAGAAGATAGATGTTTAGTTTTAGTTTAGGTTTATATTAGACTTTTAGGAAAAAATCTTCTTAGGTACTCAAACTTCCACCTTATTTTTACAAATGAATACTCATTTTCTCATTTATTTTTATTATTAATTGAATCTGGTGCTCTGTTTTGTTTCATTTTAATTTTGGACACTATTATTTCCTTTTGTTTGTTGAATGTTGTCCTTTTAATAAATGCATATTTATTTCCAGAATTTTACTTTTACATTTGATGTTTTATTTTTAATTTTTTCCCATCTTAGTCCTATTTAATATTTTTGGCATTTATAGTGCATGTGTTGTTTGATCTTCTTCATTTTTTATGCCATAAATTTTGCCCTGTTTATTGTTTAGCCATTGATATTGTAGACTTTAATCTATCCTCATGTCTGTTAAGTCCATTTGATTTCCGTTATTTGCATCTAGGTCTCCCATGATATTTTGTTTGCATTGTAGTATTTTATGACACATGTGTGTGCGTACATGTAATGTATAAAATGTAGTTTATTTTGTGTGTGTATATATATATGTGTATTAAATATATTGTATACATAAATTATCATTTTACATGCGTGTATACTTATATTAAGTATGTTTTAACCCTTATTTTGATATTTTTTTGTTTCTTATTAAACAAATATAATAAATATTTTTCTTTAATTATTATACGAATTAATATTAAGTGTATTTGTTACATGTGGTTTTAAAAGATTATGTATACATAGATTTCAGCCTAATTTGAGTATTATTAGTCCTTTTTTTAACATGGTTACAAATTATATATATGGTTGTATTCATTTGTACATATAAATTTAGGTACATGACATCTTTTAATTAATACGAATGATATACTCATAAGCATAACTTAATTCGATCCAAATAATTTGACTAAGGGTAATACCTTTTCGTTTTAAAATTGACGTGAGGTGGTTGTCTTAATTTATGAGAAGACTACTTCCGACAATTTTAAAACGAAAATGTATCCCGTTAAGTAAAACCCTAAAATTTGACTATACTTAAAATTTGGGAACGAGAGAAAGAAATGTTCTTCTATTTAAATTCTTCGAAAAAAGATCGTTAGAACTCGTTTAAGGTCTGATCTCGACGTCTTTAAATAATCGAATATTATTCTTCTTTCTAAAAGGATCGGTAAGTTTTAATTAAATTTGTTTAATTTTGTGCATTTTGAATATTACAATGAAACCGTAATATTTTTTTATTTTGATTGGAGTAAGAATTGATTGTCTTAAGGTACGATAGGTTGTTTCTTCTCGATAGGAAATAATTAAATATTATTAGGTTCTGTTCTAACATTCACGAATATTGTTTTAAGGGATATTAAATTAAATTAAATTCGAACTTGTAAATTTCAATGCAAAGATAATTAATTAATCAACTAGGTATCGATTTAGGATGTTGTGGGGGTGTTAATCTTTCTCCACACGTAACCGACTCCCGAACTCATTCTCTGATACGCAAACCGTGAATTTGTTGTTTTAATTAAAATTAATATTTTTTATTAAAATAACAAAATGTTTTTGGGTGCCCAATCACACCTTAATCAAAGATTGGTGGCGACTACTCGAACCGTATTTTATTTTATTTAAAGAGAATCCCAAATTTTTTGAAGCGAGAGATTTTTTAAATTACATTTACTTTTTAATTAAAAATTAATCAAAAAAATAATTAAAAAAATGTGTTTATTTTTAATCCAAAAAAATCGTTTCGACAATTTCTATAGCTCATAAGCCAGAACATAATTATGACAAATGCTGAGATGCGTAAAAAGTTTACAACGAATGAAAGCTACCCAGCGTGCGTGAATCGAACAGCGGACATAAACCATGTTCTACGACAATGCCCTGCCATACTCCCAATATGGATAACACAGATTAAGAATGAGAAATTAGGTGAGTTCCTCTCGATTAATATCAGGGACCTGGGTGAGAAAAAACTAGGAAACGCCAGACCAATATGCAAAGGATACCAAGGATTGGGATCTATTCTTTGGAGCTATTTTATGGAATGCATGGCTAGCTAGGAATTCAATCGTGTTCAACAACCCACTGGAACACAACTCAAGCATTATTGAACAGAGCAAACACCTGGTGACATTAACAAACCAGGCGATAGAAAGGGAAGAGAGACCCAACCAAAGATTGGAAAGTAGGAACACAGGACCGCAGGTATGGTCACCACCGCCGGATGGTTGGTATAAGGTTAATACAGATGGAACTCGGAGAAAGGAAGATGAGAAAATGGCCTGCGGGGGAGTAATAAGAGACCAGAAAAGAACGTGGAAGCTCGGTTTCAGAAAATTCGTAGGAATCGGCTCAGTTCTGAAGGCCGAACTTTGGGGAATATACATTGGATCATCATGCTCTTGGGATATGGGGATCAGAAAGCTTACAGTAGAAGTGGATAGTTTAGATGCAGTGAAGATACTCAAGGAGAGAAGCAGGAATTATGACCAGTTCACTATAATAGCACACATTCAAGGAATTATGAACAGGCAGTGGGAAGTTAGCATTCAACACATAAAAAGGAATAGAAATAAGGTTGCAGACAAGTTGGCTAAGACTGTAAGCCTCGATGATATGGAAAGAAGGTTACTTGCATGGCCGCCGGATCTTGCATGAGGATGTTAGTATAGATTCGCAGAGTAGCATAGCTTAGGTTTTAGTTTCATTTATTCACAAAAAAAATTACAATTATTATTATTTTAAGTGTCTTGTAATAGTCGTTGAAAAAATTTGCCAAATGACAAGTGTTGTGTTTATATAATTTTAAATTTTACTTTTTTATTTAAAAAAAATATTTTAAAAAAATATTTTAAAAAATCCCCCAAACCTCACGTCCCTTGCAAACCCCCTACTTGCGCGTCACATCTGTCCTTTTCCAAATCGTCAATCGGCTAAAGTTTAATAGGTGGTTAAACGATCCACTGTGACAACCGGCCAAACGATTAAACGGCCGACTGTCACGACCGACCATAGAGATTTGGGAGATTGTTAGAGATTTGAATGTTTTGGATTTTAGGGAGTTAAGTTTAAGAATATATGGGAGAAGAGATCGACGGTTGGTCACTATGTGGCTAGCGATGATTGGGGTGGTTGTTCTTCGACGATTGGCAGCGATCAGGACAATGGTGACGATTGGTGTTTGGATTTTAGAATTAAATTTTTTTAATGTTTTGGTTTTTCCCCCTTAAATTTAAGAAAAAATTTTGGTTTTTTTTATATAAATTGTAAATTTTAAGTTGTTTATTTTAAATAAAATTTTTATAAACGTGACATGTGGAAGATAACTGAATTTTTAAAGGTTGTTACGATCGGGACACTTAAAATGATAATATTTATAACGTTAGACATTTAGATTGATAAAAAATAATTCAAATAATTAATAAAAAAATAATATTAAGCATTTTTCTTTGATTTGTTATTTGTTGGGAAGAGGAAGTGTATTACCAACAGCATTTCTAACCTACTTGATTGTTCTCTACCTTATATAAGCCATGATGTGTTTGTGAAAGAATTGTCTTTTTTAATCTCCCTCTCTAATCCATTATAATATTTTAAGTTTTGTTTATAAAATCGATATATTCTAGTTGACATCAATATTTAGAATATTTGATTCGTTAAATTAAAAAAATAGTGTTTCGCTTGTTTACTTATTTGAAAAATTAGATTATAACATAAGATTGAAAGTCTACGGGTCTTAGAAATGATTATCTTCTATGTTTAATTTTTCAATTTTTAAAAATTTTTAAATAAAAAAATATGTAGAAGATGTTAATGCAAGTTCATTGTTATTCAAGATGATTACAAAAGATACAGATAATAATAATTTATGACAATAATTAAAAAATAGTAAAAAACTTTAGTTTTAATGAAGAGTATAATGATGTGAAATAAAAAGTTAAATTTCTAACTGTACTAAACCACTATATTATCAGGCTGTTAATAGGTTAATGATCTATTATCTACATTGAAATCAAAATTAAAGTTTAGTGTTAAAATTGAAATATTTTAAACTTTTATAGTGAACGCATAGAAAGAGTAAAGTTTAGTGACATTTAGAAAAATTTACCCACAAATAAATTCGAATATAAGAGTGGAAGCTGGCGTAGGGACAAAACACGTCTTGGCTTGGTTGAAAATCCAACAAAATCCGACTCAACATATATTTGTTTGAACCGTTTTGGTTTGGTATGTTGCCCAAAACTACCATAACCTCCAATCCAAATCAACACAACTGTACTCCGATCTCCAACAGGACGCCACCCTCCAACAGTCAATCGCTCTATCCATCTGTTTCCTTCCCCTTTTTTAACCTTTGATCATTGGGTTCTAGAAGCATCCATAATTCGCTCTAAAATCCTTCCATGGCCACCGTCTCAGCTTATCCAACCCCTAGCCCTAACCCTAATTACCGTTCCCCGACAGACCAAACCGAGAACGACCCCGTCTCCGTCCCTCAAATGGACCTTCACCCTTCTTCTGAACCCAACCCTGTCTACACTCCGAACTCCAATCATAATTTCAACACCACAACCGACGTGGTTGCTCCTGCTGCGCTGCCGCCCTCTATTTTCCGTATCTCTTTCAACCAGGACCACGGTTGCTTCGCCGCCGGCATTGACCATGGCTTCCGTATCTACAATTGCGATCCTTTCCGAGAAATTTTTCGCCGAGATTTCGACCGCGAGGGCGGTATTGGAGTTGTAGAGATGCTTTTTCGGTGCAATATATTGGCTCTCGTTGGCGGTGGACCCGACCCGCAATACCCGCCTAATAAGGTTATGATCTGGGACGACCATCAGAGCCGGTGCATCGGGGAGCTTTCGTTCCGTTCTGAAGTGAGATCGGTTCGGCTTCGGAGGGATCGAATCGTAGTAGTTTTGGAACAAAAGATTTTCGTTTACAATTTTACTGATTTGAAGCTGTTGCACCAGATTGAGACTATCGCGAATCCAAAGGGACTCTGCGCTGTGTCTCAGGGGGCCGGGTCATTGGTTCTGGTTTGTCCTGGATTGCAGAAGGGGCAAGTTAGGGTTGAGCATTATGCCTCGAAGAGGACTAAGTTTATTATGGCTCATGACTCCAGAATTGCGTGCTTTGTACTCTCGCAGGATGGGCAGTTCCTTGCTACCGCTAGCACGAAAGGGACGCTGGTTCGAGTTTTTAATACTGTTAATGGTAGTTTGCTACAAGAGGTAAACCTTTTAGTACTATTATCGCTATTTTGTTTCTTATTTTTATGTTGATTTTGTAACTGAATTAGGCAAATTTGGGTTTAAATTTTTTATAACGTAAGGAATTCTCAGCCTAAACTAATGTAAAAACACATAATTTGCAAGAGATTTCATTAGAATATTTGCCGGATTATATGCTCAAATTAGAAATTTGCACGTTTGGCTCTGTTCTATTTCCACCTGATTATGTCAGCTTGAAAAAAGGTTAACATTGTGTTCTTATGAGTTACTTGTAAATGCTAGCGTATTCTAGATGAAGAATTCTAACAGGATCATTGTTAAGTATGTGTTTAAGTAATCCGGCTGTTTCATGGCTTTCTACTAAGCTATCAAATAATCATGTAATGTGTTATGACTTATGAGTGTTACGAAATTGTTCCTTTTAGTTTCCTATATGCAGTTGGTGTTAAGATATTTGCCAAAAAATAATAGTGCCTGTAGTGATATTTATGGTTCTGTGTTGCATTTGGACTTATGAATTATTAGCTCGCTTACCTAGATTCAAAATACTTTCTGGCATTCTGAAAGTATTCTTGTATATTATTATAGGTAAGGAGGGGTGCAGATAGAGCTGAAATTTATAGTTTGGCGTTTTCTTCTAATGCCCAATGGCTAGCAGTTTCAAGTGACAAGGGCACAGTCCATGTTTTCAGCCTTAAGAGTAATGGTGGATCTCCAGGTGTTGACAGGTCACCAAGGGCATCTGAAGCTGTTACTTCACCACATTCCTCTCTTTCTTTTATCAAAGGTAAAGTACCATCTTTTGCCTGCCACTTCTGTTGTTGTCATTGTTTCAAACATGTAGTTTGTCTTCAAACAACTATTTAATTTCGTATTCCTACCATTATATGATGCAACTTTGAAGGATTCTCTTAATCTCTTATGAATACACTTTTTTGGCAACAGAATAGAATCTATCATGGGCAACAAATCTATATCAATTGTTCCTTACACCTTCCCCGTTTCTGATTTCTGAGATTATTGTGAACTTGCATGAGAACAAAATTACAAATTTTAGTTGGATGATGATGATGACCCAGATGGAGAATCACTGAATCAGCATTCTAATATTGTGTAATAAGTTTGTTCCTTCAATAGCCGCTAGTCAATTGACATTGAAGATGACGTCTTCAAAATTTGTGGGTGAAATGATTTGTATCTAAAACTATGGTTTTCTGCTTATAAGAGAGTTATCCAAGTATCCAGCGAAGATACACTTAATAGAATGTGACAACTAGATTGTGTTAAATATATCTATTAGGAACTATGCATTTTTATATGTCTCTTCTTTTTGGATTTTTGGGAGTTAACTATGGAAAGCTTCTAAAATACTAGATTGTCTTCCCGTTTGCAGGTGTGTTACCCAAGTACTTTAGCTCGGAGTGGTCAGTGGCCCAGTTCCGCCTTGTTGAAGGTTCTCAGTACATTGTTGCTTTTGGTCACCAAAAGAATACAGTGGTAATTCTTGGTATGGATGGAAGGTAAGAAAAATGAAAAAAAAAATACTAATAGGGACTATTAAATATTGTCGGAGCAACTATTCTTGACTTTTAGGGCAACTTAGAAGTATTGTGAGTAATTTAGTTACATGCTTGGTAAATCCGTCAGTGATGTTGACCTATGTGAGTTGTTGGTGCGTAGAGTTAATTGTTGCTAAAACCATAGTGGGTTTTTCTTGATAGCCTTAGCCTCTGACTTTCTTTTCCTATGTTTCCCATTTCTTGCCTGTTCCTCACCAATTTGACATTAATATTTGTGGGTGTTATTATATTTGATGTTTTCTGCTGCTGCTACTGTTACTTGTTTTAGTTTGCGTGAATAAAGTGTAATTTGGGTTAATTGATGAAGCTTCTACCGATGCCAATTTGACCCGGTGAATGGTGGGGAAATGACGCAGCTGGAATATCACAACTTTATGAAACCAGAGGCAGCTTTTTGATGTTTATGTATTCAGTTCTCTATATCTTGGGCATCTAAGACTAAATTTATTGTATCTTTATCCCATCATGCATTTTGTAATTTGTAAATATTCGAAACTATAGCTCTTTAAAGTTCTCCATAACCCCACCCTCCAAAAAAAAATCTATAAATAAAGTTAAACTGTTAAAATTTTTATTTCTTTAAAATTTAAATTTATAAAAAAGGACATTTGTCATGATTGTACTATGTTATTTTTTTAATGATAGTTCCCTTGAGTTTTTACTATATTATAAGTTATTTGATGAGGTTTTTCATTTTTCAATAAGTTTTAAGTAAATTGAGTTAAAAAAGATATTAGATATGAATGATTATATAATAATATTCGATTTCTAAAATTTAATTTTATAAACATTTAAAATGATTTTAGTATAAATTGTTTCATCCGTGTCCATCCATGAAATCTAATACCGACTTTAATAAAATCATTTTAACACCAATATAGTTTTTGTTGATGAAATGATGGTTAAAATCTTTAAAAATTGTAATTTTCGACTCGTGCACAAATAAGTTCTCATTTTTTTTCATTTCATAAATAAATGTATGTTTTGAAGCAGTACATTTTAATGACGGGGTAGAAGGCCCCTTTTGCTAAAAATGAAAGAAAAGAAAAAATATGAGTAAAAATTATATGAAATGTATATGATATAACAAAGACGAGTACGAACCAAATTAAATTGTGAGTATATATTAATTTTATGTTCAATCATTCGATATATATATATATATATTTCGAGCTCGTACCTGCCGACCTTTTTGCCGGCGAACACAAGCAGCTTCCTTTCCTAGCTAAGAATGTAAACACACTTTGTTATTTTATAGTTAATATATACTACGAGTATTTCATGTTGCGGAAGACGGCTATCAGATAGAGCAAAATTACAACTGATAATTTGAGAAAATAAAAATGAAGATAAAAAGAGACACAAAATTTACGTGGAAAACCCCTAAATAATATAGGGTAAAAACCACGGGCAACGGTAGAAGAATTTCACTATGAGAAAATAGGAATTACAACCTCTCTCTCGATCTATAAAAAGGAGAAAACAACTCTCAAGAAACTCTCTAAATTCTCTCTAGTATTGGAAGAAAGCTAGAATGCTTTGGGATGGTTTTGAAGCTAAATGAGCTAGGGTATTTATAGTTGAAGCTTAAGGACTAATTTGTAAATACCCTAAAATGACTAAATTTAAGCTTTTACCATTTTATTTTTCAACAATTTGGTTACCTAAATTTGACAATATTAATTGCCCAAAACCATTTTTCCAGCTGCCTTTGAAAATTGCATCATTCGGTGCCTACCTTGTCTTGTGGAAATTTCAACAATCTCTCACTTGAAGATTTGATTGAAACAATCATATCTTCACACCATTCTTTCTACCTTGTACCTTCATGTTGCTTATGTTTCTGACAGGCCACAGGAGGATCGACACCAGTTAAATTTATCAGCGTTGATCGCCTTCGTCATGAAATCTGCTATATTGTCTTTGGTATGGATCTTCTGCATATCTATTGTTCCTTCTTCCACCTTTTCACGAATGAAGTGGTATTGAACTCGTATGTGTTTTGTCCTTGAATGAAATGCTGGATTCATTGCTAGATGCAAGGCGCTTTGACTGTCACAAAATAGAGAAACATGCTCTTGATTGTGCCCAAGCTCCTCCAATAGCATCTTCAACCAAATTGCTTCTTTACTGGCCTGTGTAGCTGCTACATATTCTGTCTCTGTTGTGGATGTAGCCACAACTGACTGCAATTTTGAAACCCAGCTTACAGCTCAACCAGCAACTTTGAACACATATCATGTAGTAGATTTGTTTTTATCCAAATCCCCTGCATAGTCAGAATCTACATACCCATTGATTAGTAAGTTTGATCTTCCGTAACATAATGCAACATTTGAGGTCCCTTTGATGTATCTCAGGATCCTCTTTACTGTATTCCAATGCTCTTTGCCTGGATTCGCCATGTACCGACTAACCACTCCCACTGCTTGTGCAATGTCTGGTCTTGTGCATATCACAGCGAACATTAAACTTCCCACTGTTGATGCATACGGTACTCGAGACATCTCCATCCTCTCTTTTTCACTGCTAGGACTCATACTGGAGGATAATTTGAAGTTAATAGGAAGATGAGTAAAAATTGGCTTACAATCTTGCATGCTGAATCGTGACAAGATCTTCTTCAAATAATTCTTTTGTGAAAGTCAAATCTTCCTATTACTTCTGTCTCGATGAATTTGCATCCCTAGAATCTTGTTTGCTGATCCCAAGTCCTTCATTTCAAATTCCCTAGCCAGTTGTGCCTTCAATTCTTCAATATGATCTTTGTTGGGTCTTGCAACCAACATGTCATCCACATACAACAGCAAAATAACAAAATCGTTATCACCAAACCTCTTGAAATAAGCACAAAAGTCAGCATTAAGTCTGTTGTATCCAAGGCACATAATGAAGGAATCAAATCTCTTATACCAACACCTCGACTCCTGCTTTAGACCGTACAGAGATTTGTTCAACCTGCAAACCAAGTTCTTCTTTTCTTTTTCTTCAAAACCTTCAGGCTGGAGCATATAAATTTCTTCTTCAAGATTTCCATGAAGAAAAGCTGTTTTAACATCTAGCTGCTCTAGATGTAAGTCCAATGTAGCACACATTGCCAAAACTACTCGAACTGTTGTTAGTCGAACCACAAGAGAAAATATTTCATCAATACCTTCTTTTTGAGCATATCCTTTGACCACCAGTCTTGCACGATACCTCTAAACTTGATCGTCACCATTCCGCTTGATTTTGAAGACCCATTTGTTACCAATTGGCTTCCTTCCTTGTGGTAGTGGCACAAGGTCCCATGTATTATTTTTATGAAGGGCTTCGATTTCTTCTTGCATCGCCATCATCCACAGTGAAGCATCTGAGCTGTTTATTGCCTCCTGGTATATTGATGGCTCACCTTCCTCTGTTAAAAGACAGTATGCAATATTACCTTCTATAACATAATCTGAGTGCCAATTGGGACGTCTTCTCACACGATCTGATTGACGAGTTGTTGGAGCTTCAGAATTCTCTGGTTCTTGTTCATCTTGTGTTGGTTCTGCTTCAGAAGAATCTCCTTGTTCAACTTCTTTTTCCACATGTATCTGTGTAGTCTCTGACTTTTCAGTGCTAACATCGTCTTCTTTTCTTTGTAGCTTATCTTCTACAAAGATGACATCCCTGCTGATGATCACTTTACGGGCAGTGGGATCCTACAAGCGATACCCCTTTACTCCATCAGCATACCCCAAGAATTTATATTTCCTGGATTTTGGATCCAGCTTTGAGATTTCTTGGGAGTTGTACATCACGTACACAATACTTCCAAATATATGGAGGTTTGAATAATCAACTGGTTTACCAGTCCACATCTCCATTGGTTTCTTCAGCTCTATTGCATTGATGGAGCTCGATTCACCAAATAACAGGCGGTATTGACTGCTTCTGCCCAGAATGATTTTTCTAGGCCTGCATCCCTCAACATTGCTCTTGTTCTTTCTAACAAAGTTCTATTCATCCGCTCTGTAACTCCATTTTGTTGAGGAGTGTTCGCCACTGTGAACTGTCTTTTGATGCCTTCTTTCCTGCAAAAGTCATCAAATTCTTCGCTTGTGTATTCTCCTCCATTATCTGTTCTGAAACACTTCTTATTTCCAGAATCAAGTTCCACCCGCGCTTTGAAGTTTTTGAAAGTGGAAAACACATCTGACTTCTTCTTAATAGGGTACACCCAACATCTCCTGGAGTAGTCATCAATAAATGAGACAAAGTATTTTGCTCCGCCTAGGGATGTAACTGGTGCTTGCCATACGTCAGAGTGAACCAATTCTAGAACACTTTTGCCTCTAGAATTTGATGTGTTGAATTTCAACCGGTGCTGCTTACTTGTTATGCAATGCTCACACAAAGGAAGTAATACATTTGTTAAGCCTGGAAGTAGCTTTTACTCCACAAGGACTTTCATTCCTTGTTATGACATGTGTCCAAGTTTCTGATGCCATAGCATTGCCGAATCTGAACTACATGAGGCAACAGAGGCTTCTGCTTCTACCAAAGTCTCTCCCTTCAGTATGTACAAGTTTGCAGCTATCTTTTCACCTTTCAGCTCCACAAGCGCTCCACGGAACACCTTCATGATTCCTTTCCGTGTTTAAATCTTGCTTGCATTATTATCCAACAATCCGTAGGATAATAAATTTTTCTTCAAACCTTTCATGTGCCGCAAATCTCGAACAACTTTCATTGTTCCATCATACATCTTCAATTTGATGGTTCCCACGCCAATGATTTCTAAGGCATGATCATTGCAACTATACACAGATCCTCTTGAGACTGGTTCATAATGATGGAACCATTCTCTTCTTGAGGTCATGTGATATGTTTCTCCTGAATCAATGAGCCATATATATGCAAATCATTTTCTTCCTTCCACGGTGGTTGATGCTTCACAACATAGAGCATCTCCATCATCTGAAGTGTTTGCGGTATTGCCTTGTGGATTGGAGTTTTTATTTAGGCTCCAACAATCCTTCTTCAAGTGATCATTCTTTCCACAGTGGTAGCACTTTAAATTATTCTTGCTCCTCGACTTCGATCTACCATGTTTATGACTGTTGCTTTGGCCACGTTCTGTTGATCTCCCTCTCATCGTTGTCAACGCTTCTGCTTGTTGCAGATTTACTTGTCTGTCTTCCTTGTTCTTGCGACGATTTTCTTCTTGTAGAACAGCAGCTGCAACGTCATCAAAGACTAGACTGGTGACATTACTGTTTGTCAAGTTGATGATGAGTTGATCGTACGAATCCGGTAGACTTTGAAGTAGAAGTTCAGCACGTTCTTGTTCTCCTATTTTACAACTTAAGGATGTAAGCTGAGAAAATAAGGTGTTCAGTGTATTTAAGTGCTCCGTCACTGAAGTAGATTCTGACATACGGAGAGTGTACAATTTTCTCTTAATGAAAATTTTATTGTGCATCAATGTGGCCTCGTACAATTTGGTAAGATGATCCCATATCTCCTTAGCTGCCTTTTTCTCCTCGATGCTTGACAATACTTCATCTGCTAATGCTAGATGAAAGTTTGCCATAGCATTCCCGTCTATCTCGTTCTATTTGATGTCATCTGCGAAATCCACCGGCCTTTCATTGATAGCCGCTAGACACCCGTCTTTCCTTAGGATGGCCTTCATCTTCAATTTCCACAATGTGAAATTTCTCCCATTGAATTTTTCAATATCAAATTTCGTTGCCATAGCTTCTTTTACAGATAGCTCCCACTATTTCACTATCGTGAATAGTTCTCTGGAACCTTCAAAGAATAGGTAATAACTTCTTATTTTCTTATGTTAGAGGATCCACCTTTTGGTGGCAACCACAAAGACAATAAGTAGATATTACATACTCTAATCTAGCTCGGATACCAATTGTTGCGAAAGACGGCTATCGGATAGAGCAAAATTGCAACTGATAATTTGAGAAAATAAAAATGAAGATAAAAAGAGACACAAAATTTACGTGGAAAACCCCTAAATAATATAGGGTAAAAACCACTGGCAACGGTAGAAGAATTTCACTATGAGAAAATAGGAATTACAACCTCTCTCTTGATCTACCAAGGAGAAAACAATGATAATTCTCTCTTGATAAAAAGGAGAAAACAACTCTCAAGAAACTCTCTAAATTCTCTCTAGTATTGGAAGAAAGCTAGAATGCTTTGGAATGGTTTTGAAGCTAAATGAGCTAGAGTATTTATAGTTGAAGTCTTAAGGACTAATTTGTAAATACCCTAAATTACAATGACTAAATTTAAGCTCTTACCATTTTATTTTTCAACAATTTGGTTACCTAAATTTGACAATATTAATTGCCCAAAATCATTTTTCCAGCTGCCTTTGAAAATTGCATCATTCGGTGCCTACCTTGTCTTGTGGAAATTTCAACATTTCATAACTTTTTTTGTGATATTGCAGACCTTTGGTCAGATTCCAGTGCTGGAAGATGGTGATCTGAGTCTTTTCGCTAGGCTGTTGTTTATCACTTTCTGAACCAAATATTCAATAGAGAAAAACACTTGTTTTGATTATATTTTTGCATATCAGAATCTAGGGCAATCTGTGCATATGTGACCGAAAAGTTCAAGGAAGCCGGCAACGATCTCATCCGGCACCAAAGCCTTAAAGAGGCCGCCGAAGCGAAAATGTGGATGGAGGTTGAATCCCAGAAATACCACCCCGCGATTTCCCCGATCATCTTCGAGTTGTTCGCGGCACCACTGCAGGGAAAGTCCCCGGATCAAGGAATCATCGATGACAACATGGAGAAGCTAGGCAAAGTAGTATCCGTATATGAAGATAAACTTAGCCGCACCAAGTACCTCGCCGGTGATTTCTACCGCTTGGCCGATTTGTTCCACTTGTCTTTCACTTACTATTTCATGAAAACTCCATGCGCTAATCTCATAAATGAGCGTCCACACGTTAAAGCTTGGTGGGAAGATATTTCTTCAAGGCCCGCTTTCCAGAAGGTGGCTTCGGATATGAATTATAATTTTTCTTAATGATTTTTTAAACTTGTTTTGGAATTGTTGGTGGTGTTGTCTTATTTTAGGGTAAACTAAGTATTTAGTCATCTATCTACACGGTTTTTGTTTTGACCACTTAAATACTTTTTTAAAAATTATGCATAATGTTACGTTTTGATTTTATTTTGGTCACCTATTGTTAAAAATTTAACATTGGTATTGACGTGTTATCATTAGTTAATGTCACGTACATCATTATTCTGTTAATTCTTTAACAATAGGTAACTAAAGTAAAATCAAAACTATCATCATGCATAGTTTAAAAAAAACAGTTGAATGATCAAAACGATTTTGTTAATTTTTTTTAAAAATAGGTGACTAAAGTAAAATCAAAACTAACATTATGCACAGTTTAAAAAAACAGTTGAGTGATCAAAACAAAATCGGCTAAATAGTTGGGTGACTAAATACTTAGTTTACCCTTACTTTTATTGTTATGAAATTATAATAAGTTTGAAAGTGTGATGCTTGTGATTTAATATGCAGAAGATTCTTCTGACCTTTGGGTGTATTGAGTGCTGATTATCAGGTATTTTTTATGATATATGTTGGAGATTGTGACGCAAATTTCTCGAGGTGATCCACGAGGCAGTTCTTACACCTTCATGAATTAAAAAAACGAAAAGCATTTTACATGCATATATCATAGTTATCCACTTGAGAAATCACGTGTTTTGATTGTTGTTCATCTGCATGTCTGATATAAACCTCCTAATGAAAAACCAGTATTAATTATATTATTATAATATTCCATTTGCTCATCAAGGTGTAGAGTTTCTCAAAAAACCAATTTGAACATAAGAAAATTTTTGGGCGAATCTTTGGCGCTGGAAAATGGTGACCCTGTGGGTTTCCTTTTGAATTTATAATCTTCCAAACCTAAATTTTTGTTGGGTTTTGAAATTTAATCTACGGCCATAACGTCATAAAAAAAAACTTAAACAATGTTTGCTGGTGGTGGGCAGACGGTCGACTCGGCTACAATGAACATGTTCCATTGCCATTGTAGCCGGAATAATGGGACATATTAGGATTTAGACATGCATTTGCAATGCTAGATTGGTAATAGTTTATGAATATTTTCCTATGGTTCCAATTCCAAAGATCTAAAACCAAGGCCCTTGTTTATTATTAATCCAATGTTCCATGAATTAATGTGCTCACTTTCTCATGTCACCATCTCCCCATATCTGCATGCAAATCGAACAACAACAGAAGAAAGAAGTGTTAGCTGGCTCCAACTGTACATTTGAACTTAAAAGCAATGTGGCCCGCTCGATTCCAAATTTCCATGTGTCCTACAAGCGGCAAGCAGTGATCCCCAGATGGACCTCGTAAGCTCAAAAGACATGCCCTGGATAAATCTAAAAGCATCGTTGACACATCTCCACGTGCCAAGAGGTCGAATTTACATATGTATCAACCATACGTACGAGCATTAATGCAACCCAACAAAAGTTAAGGCATTCATCATGCTTAAACCCATATTGTTCCATCCTAATAACGGCGTATATTGAAAGTTCATTACATTCGCTGTGGTTTTATTTGAAGAAACCGCAAAATTGAGTCGAGTGAAAGGGGTAAGGAAATAAGAAAGGACTGAGAACAAAATTGCCAAAATAAAAGCCTTTGCGCATCCGGAGAATCGAAACCCCGGCCAGTACCGTAGGAGGGTACTATGATACCACTACACTGGATGAGCTTTATTGGTCATAAAGTCCACGGTTTATTTTAACTATGTTTTTTAGTTTTAAGGGTAAACTACGCCTACAGTCATTTAATTATGAGCTTAGTAACAAACAAGTCAATTATTTTACTAAACATTATAAACATACTACTCACTTAAAATATTGTTACAAACAAGTCACTCCGTCGTTAAAATTGAAACATGTGTTTAATGTTGCCTGGTATAATAATATGTTTAATTCTGAAACTTATACATTCTATCCATTTTATTCTAATTCGAAGCAATTTAATATATTTAACTCTTTATTTAAATTTTTTATTAATTTTGTGATAATGTCAAATCAAGCTCCGTTAGATCAAAGCAATAATTGTATATTTGTGTTATGTTATAAAGCAACAACAAATTACTGTTAAATTATTATCACACTAAGAAAATAATATAACGTTTCAAACAAGGAACTTAGGAGAACAACAAAGACTAAATGATGAACTCTTTTTTTATATACATATGGGTAAATACAAGGTAATATCTATTTAAAGACTCCCAACCAATTAACTATGAATGCTCATATCTCTGTCGGTGCTCGAACCCGTGACCTCTATGTAGAATAACGAGTCTCTGCAAGTGTAAGGTATGGCTCATAAATATACCGGTAAAGAAGACAGGGATGGAGCGGAGTGAGCGAAGCGAACATCAACTGTCCTTACAAAGAAAGTCTCGTAGAGGGGGTTACGATTATGTGGGTTGGGGGTACGGGGGTTGCGCCCCGCGGTACGGTACAGGGTTAATTTTGGAATTATGTACCAGGGTTTTCTATTATAAATAGAGATGTAACCTAAACCTATTATCATTGAATAAAAATTTTCTAGCGCCGCCTAGGCACCGAGGACGTAAGCACATTGTCGAACCTCGTTAAAATTCTTGTGTTCTTTTGTTTACTTTGCCCGGTTTATCTACAATTGGTATCAGATGTCAGGAGCAAAATTCGAAGTTGTGAAATTCGATGGTATGGGTAACTTCGGATTATGGAAAACGAGGGTGAAGGATCTGTTGGCGCAGCAGGGGATCCTGAAGGCTTTGCGACCTACAAAGCCGGTGTCGATAAAGGAGGAAGATTGGGAAAAATTGCAACAACGAGCGGCAGGAACCATACGATTATGCTTGGCGGACGAGGTTATGTATAACGTCATGCATCTATTGTCTCCAGACAAAATTTGGAGGAAGTTGGAAAGTCAGTTTATGTCCAAATCCTTAACGACAAAATTGTATCTAAAGCAGTGGTTGTATGGGCTGAAGATGTAGGACGATCATGATTTGGCGCAACACGTGAATGTCTTCAATCAAATCGTTTCTGGTTTGACTCGGCTTGATGTAAAAATTGAGGATGAAGACATAGCGATGATTTTGTTGTGTTCGTTGCCTCCCTCTTACGAACATATGGTGACTACTCTTACATATGGGAAAGAGACTATCAACGTTGAGGAGATTACTGCAGCCTTGTTGGCTCACAACCAGCGGAAGCAGAATGTAGGGGAAAACTCTCAAGCCAATAGCTTATAAGTCAAGGGTAATCGAGACCGTGGACGGAAGCCAGAGAAGGCAGGGTATGGCAATCGGAATTCCAGATCCAAATCTAGGGATAAGAAGACAATTCACTGTTACAAGTGTAAGGAGGCGGGACATATGAAGCGAGACTGTCCGAAGTTGAAAAAGCAGACTGATGAGAAGCGTGATGTTTCATCCAAGTCTGTGAACGTGGTCGAGGATGACAATTTTGATTGCAGTGAGGGTGATATGCTTTCTATTTCAACGACTCAATTGACGGATGCGTGGATTCTTGATTCTGGATGTTCTTATCACATCACGCCAAATAGGGAATGGTTTTCGACATACAGGTCGGTTAATTCTGGTTCTGTTTATTTGGGTGATGATCGATGTTGCAATATTGTTGGTATTGGTGATGTCAGAATTAAGATGTATGATGGCTCTGTTCGGACGTTGAGTGGTGTTCGACATATCCCAGATTTGAAGAAGAATTTGATTTCTTTGGGCACTTTGCACAAGAATGGTTTTATCCCTAAGGCTGATGAGGATAGGGAAACCATTCGGGTTGTTAAAGGTGCTTTGACTGTGATGAAAGGAAAGATGACTGCATGAAATATTTATAGATTGTTAGGGAGTACCGTTGCAGGTGGAGTTCATTCTGTTGAGTCATGTGATGATACTACAAAACTGTGGCATATGCGTCTTGCTCATCTTAGTGAACGTGGTATGACAGAATTACACAAAAGAAATCTGTTGCATGGTGTCAAAAGCTGTAAGCTCGATTTTTGCAAGTATTGTGTTCTTGGTAAACAGACTAAAGTCTGTTTCAAGACTGCAAAGCACACAACTCAAGGGATTCTTGATTATGTGCATTCTGATGTATGGGGGCCTTCCACGACATCGTCTTTGGGTGGATCTAGGTATTATGTTACTTTTATTGATGATTTTTCACGGAAAGTTTGGGTGTATTTTTTGAAACAAAAATCTGAAGTTTTTGAGAAGTTCAAGCTGTGGAAAGGTGAGGTAGAAAACCAAACAGGACGAAAAATCAAGTGTTTACGGTCTGACAATGGTACGGAGTACACAGATTCACAGTTCTTACACTTCTGTAAGGAGCACGGGATTAAGAGACATTTTACAGTGCGCAAGACACTACAACAGAATGGTGTTGTGGAACGGATGAACAGGTCGTTGAATGAAAGATCCAGATGTTTGCGGTTGAATGCGGGGCTTCCCAAACACTTCTGGGCCGAGGCTGTTAACATGGCGTGTTATCTTATCAACAGATCGCCAAGGGCATCATTGGTTGAGAAAGTTGCAGAAGAGGTATGGACTGGTCATGATGTTAGTTTTGATAACTTACGGATTTTTGGTTGTCATGCTTATGTGCATGTACCTGCTGATGAGAGATCCAAACTTGATGCAAAATCGAAGGAGTGCATTTTTCTGGGTTACAAGAAGGTGTCAAAGGATTCAAGTTTTGGGATCTAGTTGCGAAGAAAATTGTGATCAGTAGAGATGTTGTTTTTTATGAACAATCCATGTTGCAACAGAAGAAAGACACGACAGTGGTGGATTTCGAGCAGTTTCCAGTTGAGAAACCAGAAATGTATCAACCGACTTCTGGTGGTTCCACTACGGATGATTTGCAGGATTATAGTCTCGCCAGAGACAGGGTGAGACGGACGAATATAAAGCCTCCGAGTAGATTGGGTTTTGAAGACTTGGTCTCTTTTGCACTTATTGTTAGCAGTGATGATCCGGTTACTTTTCATGATGTTGTTACTAGTCAGGAAAACGACAAGTGGATGGCAACCATGGTTGAGGAGATGGAGTCTTTGAATCACAATCGTACATAGGATTTGGGTCCCCTTCATGAGGGTAAAAAGCCGATTGGTTGCAAATGTGTGTATAAGAAGAAACCAACAGTAACAGAAAAAGAGGGGGAGAAGTTTAAGGCTCGTTTGGTAGCAAAGGGTTTTTCACAGCAGAAAGGAGTTGATTATGATGAAAGCTTTTCTCCTGTGGTCAGGCACACTTCAATCCGAGCAGTACTTGCATTGGTGGTCAGTTGGGATTTGCATTTAGAGCATATGGATGTTAAAACTGCTTTTTTGCATGGTGATTTAGAGGAGCAGATCTACATGCGGCAACCTGAAGGTTTCACTCAACCTGGAAACGAGCATTTAGTTTGCAGATTGAAGAAATCTTTGTACGGGTTGAAACAGTCTCTGAGACAGTGGTATAAACGGTTTGACTCCTATATGATCAAGATTGGCTACAACCGATGTGAGTATGATTGTTGTGTCTATGTTAAGAGCCTTGATGATGGTTCTTTTATTTTTCTATTACTGTATGTTGATGATATGTTGATTGCTGCGAAGAACATGGATGATGTTATCGGTTTGAAAACTTTATTGAGTCAGGAATTTAATATGAAAGATTTAGGTGCTGCAAATAAAATTCTTGGAATGGAAATTTGCAGGGACAGAGACTCAAGGAAACTGTGGCTATCTCAACGGGGTTATGTTAAAAAAATGCTAGAAAGGTTTGCGATGAGCAGCGCAAAACCAGTTAGCACTCCATTGGCGAACCACTTTAAGCTCTCATCAGAATAGTGCCCTAAGACATATAAGGAAGCTGAAGATATGTCAAAGGTTCCGTATTCTAATCCTGTTGGCTGCTTGATGTATGCAATGATATGTACTCGTCCTGATTTAGCTCATGCTGTTAGTCAAGTTTGTAAGTACATGTCTAAACCTGGTAAGCAACATTGGGAAGCAGTCAAGTGGATCTTTCGGTACTTAAAGGGTACTGTGGGACATGGAATTGTTTTTGGTAGTCAACGAGATAATCCTTTGGTTGTAGGATATGTGGATTCAGACTATGCAGGTGACTTGGATAATAGAAGATCTACGACATGGTATGTTTTTACTCTTGGTGAAGGACCTATTTGTTGGAAGTCTACTATTCAATCTGTTGTGGCACTATCTACAACTGAAGCTCAGTACATGGCAGCGGCTGAAGCTGCAAAAGAAGCTTTATGGATCACTGGTTTAGTGAAGGAGTTGGGTGTTCAGCAAGGTGGAGTTCAGCTGCTCTGCGACAATCAAAGTGCTATTCACTTAGCTAAGAATCAAGTATATCGTGTTAGAACTAAGCATATTGATGTACGTTTTCACAAGATCAGAGTGTTGGTTGCATCTGGAGAGATTTTGTTTCAGAAGGTACACACTGATGAGAATGCCGCTGATATGTTCACCAAGCCAGTTACAACAGACAAGTTCAAGCATTGCTTGGACTTGTTGAATGTTTCAAGTTGTTAAAGAAGTAAGGTAACCCAACCCACATTGAATGTTTCCTAAGGGGCAGGATATTCGCCAAGGTGGAGATTTGTAAGGTATGGCTCATAAATATACCGGTAAAGATCAGGGTTAATTTTGGAATTATGTACCATGGTTTTCTATTATAAATAGAGATGTAACCTAAACCTATTACCATTGAATAAAAATTTTCTAGCGCCGCCTAGGCACCGAGGACGTAAGCACATTGCCGAACCTCGTTAAAATTCTTGTGTTCTTTCGTTTACTTTGCCCGATTTATCAACACTTAATCACTGAGGTCAATTGGTTCATGCATATGATTAACTTTGTAAATATGAAAAGTTAAAATTATTGAATTACCCAAATTGTTAAATTACATAAGTTTCAAAGACTAAAATTGTTATTATTCCAAATTATATCATTATTCCGTCTAATGTTTAACATAAGATTGATCTATTTGTAACAATATTTTAATTGAGTGTTCTCTTTGTAATTTTTAGAATAAAATGATCTATTTGTTACCGGACTTGTACTTTTTTTGATTAATCTGTGTGATCATAAAGTATTATCTGTTCAAAATATTCTTGGTCAATTAATTGGTATGATAATATTTTTAATTGCAAATCTTATACATTCTATTAATTTTATCCTAATTTAAAATAATTTAATAAACTTAACTCTTTATATTTGAATATTCTATCAATTTAAAAATTCAAATATTTATATATTTAATAAATATGACACAAATGAAGCTGACCATAAGCATTGTTTCATGAGAATTTTGACAAACAAAACGTGATTATATTATAATTCTCTATGTGATATTTAACAGTAAAAATTGTAATTATATAATATTATAGATTATAATTATGTACTTAATTATATAAATTCTCACCACTCTTCTAAAAATTAAAAAGCATATTTTTTTATAATCAAGTATTTTCATATATTTTAGAAGTGACAATCATACAATAATATATATATATTTTTTGCATATAAAAGTAACTAGTTATATTAAAAAAAGAAAAATCAAAATTATAATAAATGTTTACTGTCATAAACATAAATTAAACATATAATTAGAGTAGTTCTTATAATCGAAATAAGAAATTAGCTACTTGAGATCATATGAGGAAAATGTTAAAAACTCATAAAAAAACTCGATAATTTACACAATAAAAAATATTGATAGTCGGCGATTAGCACCAAACTAGTGCAACCTGACCCAGGGTTTTAAGAATTTATTTCTCGTTTCTCAATCCACGTAATGCATATTAAGTTTCAATCATACAATAATATATTTACAGAAGTGGGAGGACCCTTTTAAACATTGATATTATAAAGTTGTCTCACATAATTTATTGAAACTATACATATATGTTTTAAATATTTCAAGACACAGAGGGAAATACCTTGAATTTTAGGCCAGAATCTCCAAAATTTTCCTCCATAATTTTGGACAATTGCTCAACCATTGAAGGGGAAAGATAATTCACCCAATCTCCAATTTCTCCTTTCCTAAACAAGTATTTGTTATCAAAATTCTTAATTGATTTCCCGATCTTATTCACCTCCAAATCTTTCAAATTCTCAAAGCTACATAGTTTCATTATCTCCTCTACCAAACCTTCTTCCTCCTCTTCAATTGAGAAAGGGACACCCAAGAAATTTGCCAACATCTTCAACTGCGAGATGGCATCTTCTTTCATGTCCTCATATTTCATGAACAAGACATTCTTTGGTCTCTCTAAGCTTTCTTTCCAGTACCCTAACATATGCTCCCAAAAGGGCCCGAATCCAATCACCCCCTTGCAGTACATTTTGAAAGCTTCCTCTAATGGAAATGGAGGTTGAGATTCTGACCTCAGTTTGCTGCAATAATGCCACGACGAGATGAACGTGTCGAAAGGGTTTCGACATATGTAAACAACTCGACAATCGGAACCCATGATTGATTCTTGCAGCGAACCATATGGAACATGTGTCCCAAAGATTCTTGGCTCAGGAATGTTGGAGAGGTTAGGGTTTTGGTTATTGGCATATAGCTTGTATTCCAAGAAAGGTACTAGATCGTGTGGATTTGATCGGAGTAAGGGATGGTTTTCATTCGAAATCGGGAAATTCTTTCGGTTCATGATGGCGAAGGTTAAGGCTTTGATCCAAGTTGTACCTGATTTTGGAATGGTAGCAAGGATTACATCAGAATTTCTTGCTCGGAAGTGTTTCTGAAAAGAAATTATGGCTTGGATTTCTTTTGGTTGACACCAAAAGCCTTGGAATTTGTAAAGAAAAGAAGTTCTCCAACCTTTCTCTTTGGGACAACAATGAATCAACTCCTTGCTAATAAGATTTTCTTCATCTTCATCAACATCAATTGTGGGGATTTTAGGGAGATGGGAAATGGCCATTGAAGTTGTTGGAAAATAGGGTTTTTAGACGTTAGTTTTGGCTTCTGAATTAGCTTTTAGAAACCTTCACTTATAAATAATTCTATGGCTAACTATTACTTTCTCCAATCAAAATTATTATTGAAATAATAAATAATAAATATAGTTGTTTCTCTTTTTCTCTCTCTCTAAACCCTAAAATTCACCATTTTTCTATTCTTTTTTTATTTTGTTTAACAGACGGTAACGTCAACCTTGGTGTTAATCGCTAATCATATATATATATATATATATATATATATATATATATATATTCCTTGTTTCTCATTTATTTTTTTATATTGCATATCTAATTTTCCTTTGTTTTTTAGTTTCTAATAATTCTATCTTTATGACACATTTTTTTCTGCTCTCTATGGCACGTTTTTAGTCTTTCTTATCGGTCATTTGATCATTTTTTGTTTATTTTTTCAGGATTGGATTTGACGTCGTCTTGATTGATTAAGAGGACACTCATTTGTTTTCATGTTGATCTTCCCTACTTGATATCATCCGATTGGACTTGGATATGTAATTTGCGTTCGTAGATAGTTTTCTCATAATACTCGATTTTGATTTGTGGTTGTCGATGATCTTTCAGTAGTTTAATCCATTGTTGTAGTTCATTTGTCGATGTAGTTAAGTTTGTTCGTATCTGTCTTTTATTCGATTTTCTTAGATGAATTTTAACATTTTCTTTGTATGGTCCTTGCATGATATTTAGTGATTAGTCAATGATTATAAAAAATATTCTAATTATGTGTTTAGTTTACGAACTTCATTATAGTTTTAAATATTTTTTCTTTTTAATAAAATTAGCAACTCTATTCGCGTAAAATAAATGAATATTTTTTATTAATTTATAAAATTATTTTTAAATGTTTTAAAATTTGATAAACCCGGCCAAATCTAGATCGAATAAACCTAACCAAGATCATTGTTGACCAAATGTAGGGATTTCAAGTATTTTATGGGTCAATTATTGGCCTATGATGCATACGTTCCCATTAAAATACAAACCCCACCAAAGGGACAAACAACTAAGATTTTCATGCTCAACTGCCCCCAATACATTTACGCTATTTGTTTATAATGTATTTCAGTTTAATTTGACAAATATTAAAATTTGATTCAGTCATTTTCAAGCAGCTCGAACAAGTCGAATTTAAGTATAAATAATTGCATTTGAACTCGAAAAGAATCAAGGCAGACATCTTAAATCCACAGTATATAACAAGTCGGGTTTAAGGTATTACACCAAATATGTGAAATCTTAAAAATGAGTCCTAATGCAGACAGATTATTTGTAATTGCTTTATAAGACTTAAATGTGGGCCGGGTCGTAAGGCTTGAAATGAATAATTTTTTTTTCATTTGAGTATAATATACTTTTAAGTTGAATGATAATGAATCGAGCATGAAATAACCTTATCGATGGCTAATGCCTATTGAGTACTTGTGCTTGCACAACAATGATGCTGTAATAATGAGTAGAAATGTAATGATTTGATAACACATGGCTCATATGCATCGATTCGATTTGCGACCATAAGTAGCGTTGATTGATTTGCGGTCATATGTGGTGAAGGACCATACGATCATAACACCAGTATTTTGACATATACTCTGCGTGACCAATTTGAGCATTAAAGTAAGGGTACCATTTATATGCCAAGTTCGTAATAGAGTTGACAAAGAAGCTAGTGATTGATGTAAACCCTTGCTCATGAATAATCAATTGAAACTTGATGCTTAAGTTTCATAAATGCTTATGTCATTCTTCTATGCTTATGTATGAAATACATGTTTATTTTTATGAATTACATTAAGTATATTAGAGTGGATCTGTATCATTGAACTTCTAAAATTTAGTGTTCATATTATTTTCGTTTATAAATTAATATATATTGTTCTTGTTTATGGAGCACCGTCAGCGAGAGATATCCGATGCCATCAATTTAGAGTACAAAAATTAATTTTTTTAACGGGCATATGCATTCATTGGACCTTACTTGTATTTGGTCTATAACTCTATGATTATTCTTTTGATCAACTTTGGTTTACAATATATCATATTTATAGCTCATGATTTGTATAAACATTTTACTCTATTTACGCATCAACATTATCTAGTATGAACGTTTTTAAATGCTATGCAGGTTTAATGAAGAGAACTTTAATAATTGAATTTGACAATCTCTCAAGTGGCCTAGTTGTTGGGGAATAAACCGAGTACGAGTAATTTTCCTATAACCAGATTAGTAAGAATGCGAAATAAAAGAAGAAAAATAATACCCGAAATTGACAACGGAGTTCAGCCAATTATGCCTACGTCTCCGGACTGCTGCAGATATTTTACTAAGAGATAAAATTTACAGGTGTTACAAAACACTCACTACTCACAAGAAAGCTCTCTAGTATTGGGAAAAAGAAAATAATTTGGGATGATTTTGAAGCTAAATGAGCTAGGGTATTTATAGTTGAAGCTTAGGGACTAATCTTATAAATACCCTAAAGTTCAATGACTCAATTTTATAATTATCCCTTGCCCAAATTAAAACACACACTCACTACTCATAAGAAAGCTCTCTAGTATTGGGAGAAAGAAAATAATTTGGGATGATTTTGAAGCTAAATGAGCTAGGGTATTTATAGTTGAAGCTTAGGGACTAATCTTATAAATACCCTAAAGTTCAATGACTCAATTTTATAATTATCCCTTGCCCAAATTAAAACACATGGGCTGCCTAACTTTGAAATCAAAGCAGCCCCCGTTTTTGACAAATTTAACAGCCGTCGGCTGCTTAATTTCCAACAATCTCCCATTTGAAGACTGATTTTAATATGTCTTCACTCCTCGATCAATGTAGCATCATTTTTTCTCTTATTACTCTAGCATGCCAACTGAAGCTGAACACAACTTCAGTTTGTCCGTAGTCATCGTCTTTGTTAACATGTCTGTCGGATTTTGAGCTCCACTAATCTTTTCAAGTTTCAAAATCCCATCTTCCAGAAGAGACCGGATAAAATGATATCGCAATTGTATGTGCTTTGTCATGGAATGAAAAAAACGGATTCTTCGCTAGATGGATAGCACTTTGATACATTATTTTCTTGTTTCTTGCCTAACTCTTCCAATAAACTTTGGAGACAGACCATCTCCTTATTGGCTTCCATAACAGCGACATATTCTGCTTCAGTTGTGGAGAGAGAAACTATCTTCTGTGTTTGAGAAACCCAACTCACTGCAGTTCCTCCTAGAGTATAGACATACCATGTAGTGATTCTTCTGATATCAACATTTCAAGCTAAGTCAACATCTACATAACCTGTCAGTATCGTATCTCCACCTTTGAAACAAAGTGTTTTGTTCGTGGTACCCCGCAGATATCTGAGGATCCATTTGACTGCTTCCCAATGTACCTTGCCCGGATTATTCATGTACCTGCTAACAACTCCCACTGCATAAGCAATATCTGGTCTAGTACAAACCATGGCATACATCAGACTTCCAATTGCTGAGGCATACGACACCTTCACCATGTGTGCACGTTCTTCCTCCGTCTTTGGTGACTGTTCTTTGGAGAGTCTAAAATGAACACCTAAAGGTGTACTTACTGGTTTAGCATCTTGCATGTTGAACCTATCGAACTTTTTGTAGCACTGTCTAGGAGCTTGTTTTAAACCATACAAGCTCTTTTTCAACCTGCATACCAGGTTTTTCTTGACTGTCTGTATGAAGCCTTCTGGTTGCCTCGTATAGATTTCTTCCTCCAAATCACCATGAAGGAAAGTTGTCTTTACATCTAACTGCTCAAGATGTAGATTTTCTGCAGCTACAATTTCCAACACCAGTCTGATTGTAGACAGTTTCACGACTGGAGAGAAAATTTCATTGTAGTTAATACCTTCTTTTTGCTGAAAACGTTTGACAACCAATCTCGCTTTGTAGTGTTTGCTTCTATCGTGCTCTTCTTTGATCCTGTAAATCCACTCGTTGTGGAGCACTTTCTTGCCTGGTGGTAATTCAGCTAATTTCCACGTCTGATTTGACATAAGCGAGTCAATCTCATCTTTCATAGAAGACTCCCACTTGACTGAATCCTCCACCTGCATTGCTTCATCATAGCACTCTGGTTCACCATTGTCAGTTAGCAATAAAAAGTGCAAAGAATGCGAATAACGTTGGGTTGGTTTAGGAATTCTGGAGGAGCGTCTCAGTTCTAGTGTGTCTGGTTCTTCTTGAACTGCTTCAGGACTAATCTGAACTTCATTTCCAGAAATTTTTCAATTTTCACATTCCGTCATCCGCAAATTGAAAATTGAAAAGCGATGCCTGGTGTTGAGCCACTGAGCCACCATCGAACTTTTCAATTTTCACATTCCCTTCGTCTGCAGCCATCGCTTCCGCTCGAATCTTGCTTCGTTTGGATTGTTTCTGACAATTCTTGCGAACCACTGTGTATTAGAACACCTCCGTCGACAAATTCGTATCGCCGACAAATTTTTTACTATTCACGAAATTCACTATTCACGTGAATAGTGATGAATAGTAACATCGCAAACAATTGACAAAATTCACAACCAAAAGCTCTGATACCAGTTATTGGGGAATAAACCGAGTACGAGTAATTTTCCTATAACCAGATTAGTGAGAATGCGAAATAAAAGCGGAAAAATAATACCCGAAATTGATAACGGAGTTCAGCCAATTATGCCTACGTCTCCGGACTGCTGCAGATCTTTTACTAAGAGAGAAAATTTGCAGGTGTTTACAAAACACTCACTACTCACAAGAAAGCTCTTTAGTATTGGGAGAAAGAAATAATTTGGAATGATTTTAAAGCTAAATGAGCTAGGGTATTTATAGTTGAAGCTTAGGGACTAATCTTATAAATACCCTAAAGTTCAATGACTCAATTTTATAATTATCCCTTGCCCAAATTCAAACACATGGGCTGCCTAACTTTGAAATCAAAGCAGCCACCCTTTTTGACAAATTTAACAGTCG